TTTGTCCATTTCCCAGAATTCGAAAACGTAAGTCCAAGATGACAGTGAGTAGAAGATGGAATGATTTCTTGACTGTTAAACTTAAAGCTTAGTTTGGATACTTCATCTTCACTACTGCCAAATATTAATATTTTGGTTTTTTCAGAATTAAATTTTACAAGCCAGTTTTTTGACCATTGGTTAATTTTTTCTAGATCATGGTTTGTAAGTTTTTCTAAGTCCTTGAAGTTTTTAGATGTGTTTGACACAGATGTGTCATCTGCAAATAGTCTAGAGAGACCTGAGAGTCCACATGGTAGATCATTTATATATACTAAAAAAAGTAAAGGCCCAAGAACAGAACCTTGGGGAACTCCTGCTTTCGTTCTTCCCACTGAAGAACTTGATGATTTGATTTTGACCTGCTGTGATCGACCAGTAAGATAATCATTTAGCCAAGCAAGAACTTCACCCACAAACCCGTATTTTTCTAATTTGTATTTTAAGCCTTTCAACCAAACCATATCGAATGCCTTACTGATATCGCAAAAAGCAAAGCAGGTGACTTAATTCTTTATTGTCTAAAGCAATACAAATGTTATGATAAATTTCTATTAACTGGGTGACAGTTGAATGTCTACGCATTAATCCAGCTTGTAGGTTATATAACAGTTTATGTGATACTAAATGGTTATAGATGTATTTAAACATTACTCTTTCAAAGATTTTCCCCATACAACTCAACAAGGAAATTGGTCTGTAGTTTGATGAGTTTGATTTCTCTCCCTTTTTAAAGACAGGAATAACATTAGCATGTTTCCAAACACATGGAAATTTCCCAGTTTTCAGAGATTTATTGAACAGAATTTTTAGAGGGATTGCAATTTCATTACTTATTTCTTTTATTAAGATATGACTAAAATTGTCGGGACCGGATGCTTTTTTAGAATCTAAAATTTCGATAATATCCATAATTTCATTTTCGTCTATTGTGATATTGTCAAGTTTGGCCTCTGTCCTTGTTTCGAATTCGGGAAGGTCTTTATCTATGTTATCAATAGAAGAAACTTTACAAAAATAAGTATTCAGTAATTCACATTTCCCTTCATCTGTAAATACATAGGCATTATCTTCTTTTAGAGGTGGAACAGAGTGTGATGGCTTAGAACCCTTCAATAACCTGCGAACTATTTGCCAATAAGATTTTGAGTTTGTGCAATTTAAATGATTCAATGATTCGTTTAAATTTATCAGATACTCTTCTTCTAGTTTCTTTTTAAAATTGTTAACTTTATTTCTTTGTTTCCGGAATATTTCTCGATCTCTCGCGTTTTTGGTTTTTCTATATGCTTTCCTAAATTTATCGCGCAATTTTATCTCTTTCCTGATTTCAGAATTAAACCAAGGTTTATCATCCGGTCTAACTACTACATCTTTTTGTGGGATAGTTTCATTCACAAATTCTGAAAGTTTGTCGTTAAACTTTAATACATTGACATCGATCTTCGCTATTTAAAATTTCATTCCAATTTGTTTCATTCATTTCATTTCTAAATTGATCAAAATTCGCACTTTTATACAGGAAGATCTTTCGGACATATGTATTTTGGATCACTGTATCTAATTTGAGTATAATATAAGTTGCTTTGTGATCACTTATAGTTTTTTCAATATCAATAGTTCCCGATTCAATACAATCAAGGGTATCTGTAATAAGTATGGGGTCAATGCAAGTTGATGTCGTATATGTCACTCTCGATGGCTCGGTAATATAGTTTGTAAGATTATATGTCATAATTATATCACTAATATAGGTTGGAAGCTTCTTACTGAAGTCTATATTCCAATCCCCATTTAATACTAGATTATTAGATTCATCTAAAGCCCTTCCAATTGAGATTTCAAGCCTGTTCCAGAATTCAACCCTGGATGTTTCAGGTCTGTAAATAGTGCATAGAAAAACGCTTTTTGTTTTTAACTTAATTTCTACCCAAATTGTTTCATCTAACGCATTTTCAAGATCTCGCCGTCTCAGGGCTACTAAGCCTTCTCTTATATAAACAAGAATTCCACCGCCATGACTAGTTCTATCTAATCTAAAGGGAGAATTGTACCCTTCAATTGTTAAATTCTCTATATTTACAAGATCACTCAAATGAGTCTCGGTAAAGCATAAAGTATCGTTCAGTTCAAAGTAATTAGTTATTTTGTTTAATTTGTGTCGTATACTTCTACAGTTCAGATGAAATATTGATAGACCAGTTACGTTTAGCTCTGGACCAGGATTTTCCGCAATATCATTACATAACAAAAGCAAAGTCATAAGGAGAAGAATATATTGGATATTTAGTATGTTTCTCTTAATCAAGTCGTGTACTTGGAAGAGGAAGAATATTACTTTTTTTGTTAGTTTGCCGTATTTTAAAATAAAAAATCTTTTTCTCCGAATGATTATCTTGTGACACACGGAGTAATAATTTCCAATCGCCGCACGATATGTCATTAGATCATTACCCATGATCTAGGACGTCAAATCTAAAGAAATAAAGACAGCTGATTCTCGTGCAGCGACGGTAGACAGGAATGTCGACTTCATTCATACAGCGTAACGCTTGAGTAACCAAAGCATAAAGAGGGGCTAAAGTGTAACAAAGAAGTGAAAAAATAGAGAGATAGTAAGAAACATAAAGCATTAACAAGGAGAATAGTTGAAGAATCGGGGGTAAGTGAGAAATTAGTAAAGACCCATAGCAATACATGGGGTAGGTGAAGGTTTTAGGAAAGGGTAGGATAAATGTGTGTGTTCATATGAAATACAGGATTACGCATTATGTACACAATCATACAATGTCAGTGTGTCAAGTGTAAATTGATAGGAGCTATAATCATATATTGGGGAAAATACACAAATCTAACTATTTGATGAGTCAAACCTCATCATCACTGCCATGATCATCCTCGGGAAGAAAGCACAATACATCACTGTAATGTTTTATCAAAATCTTTGGTGACCCCACAGTTTCCTTAACAAATATTCTGCCATCGTTTGTCCAGTATGAATCAATTTTTCTATAATAACGGGCCTTGGCTAAAGCTTGAATAATTTCTTGTCTGGAGCGCGTAAGGTCCTCTGAAATGAATATTTTGTTTTGTTAATCTTGGTTCTTTAATTCTGATTTTGCCCTATAAATTCTGTTCTTAATTTTCCAATTATTAAAACGACAGATGATTTGAGCTTTGCCATTTCGAATGGATCCTATTATGTGGGACCTATTTCTTCTTCAGTTACAAGTAGTTAAAAAAATATTTATTCATGTATTTCATAAGTATAATGTGTACACATGGACAGACAAGATTATAATTATTAAGTAAGAATAATTATTATAATTTTGAGGTGAAATAAAAATAATGCGTGTAGACATCGACTGACAAGATTATAATTTGGAGGCGAAACATTATAATGTGTCCACATTGACTGGCAAGATTATAATTGTGAAGTGTGAATAATTATAATTTTAGGACAAAATAAATATAATGTGTACACGTTTGACAGACAAGATTATAATTGTTGCAGGAAAAAATAATAATGTTGTCAAAAAAGCAAGATTTTTATTTTTGGAAGAGATAATTATTTTTGGTATAATTATATAGGAAAAAATAACAATAATGTGGGGGTACCCTACGGCATACTACGGCTTTCCATACCTACGGCTTTCCATACATAAGTAATATAAACTTGATCATGATGTAACATTTCAGAGGAATTTTTTTCCATAATACAATTATTTTGTATCTTTTAACATCTTAAATCAATACATTGTACATTCTTTGATGCTGAACAATCTTTTGAAAGTAGATTCTATACATTTTTATTTTCTCGATTATTACAAGAAAGAAGTACTTATAAATTTTCTATACAGTAAAAATTTTGATACAGTACTTTGATTTACTATTAATAAGGAATACTATGAAACTTTGATTATTTGAAAACAGTAAAAAGTTTGATACTTTGATTTGTATCATTTATCATTAAGATTTTACATCATAAAAGTTTTTTTATCATGATCAAACGTTCTGGTCCACAAAAGTTTCTAAAATATAGTAATATTTTAATGATATTCAAAAGTTACGAGGACAAGAGTCATTTCAGTATTGTATTTGACCATGATACCGCTTTTTGAAATAATAAAATATGATACGAACTAGATACCAACTCTAATTAAAACTACCTCAAAAATGTGATTGAAACCAATGAAACGAGTTCTTTTTTAAGCTGGTAAGGGTCATAAAATGCAAGCAAAAGTTATTCATTTATAAGTATAGTATACTATTCTAGATCCTGCTTCGGTTTCTTTTAAAAGAGCAAAATCGGCATATTTTCCTAAACTATCGATTAAAATAGTAAGTTTGGAGTATAGTGCAGTTGGGTCATATTGCGTTTTGTGAATTGGGTTGATAATACTAATTAAATGACAATTCTAGTGGTTACCAGGGAAAAGGAATCTGGGATTTATACTCGTATTAAAGTCTAGGTTGTTTCATTATCTGGCTTTAAAGGAAATATAAGAATACAACCAATACCTTTAAGGAAGAAGTAATCACTTTTTTTAAATTTTTTTTTTTAAATCAAGTTCTGTTTGAATAAAAATTTGGATATGTATTTAAAGCCACATATGGCGTATTTTTGATGAGTTCAGATAAACAAAAATTAAAAAGATCTTTCTATTACCATTATGTTTTTTACCGACTTCGCAAAAAATTACGGACAAATTTAAAGTCAATTTAACTAAAGAAACGTGAGGTTATTCAAGTTCAAAATTGGTGAAAATTTTTATTTGAACTTTAATAACACATATCATGTATATCTACACTCAATCTCATTTTTTTTCATTATTATTTTATTATATATATTTTTTTTTAGTTCAGATACGCTAATATAAGTAAAGAAAAGTTGTGAAAATCAGATCATTTAAAGAGTAAACGAAAATTAAATGCTGTCACTTTTTCTTCAATAGGAGGAAATTGTACGAAAATGGAGAAGGGTTTCGCACAACACTACCTAGAGTGCACATTGTGCGAGGCTAACGCAGTATTCTACTGTAACACATGCCAGTTTGATCTCTGTCAAACATGTAAAATACGCCATCAGACAAAAAAGCCAACAAAAAACCATGACGTTGTTCTATATAGTGAAAGGAGACCTGCATCTTCTCCAGAACCCTGCATAATACACCTGGACAAGATGTATGACGCATACTGTCCGAAATGCATTACACCAGTTTGCATGAAATGCGTGATGGAGAAACATGTTGGACACGAATTAAAAGATTTGAGAACGGCATTCCAAGATAAAGTGGAGGAAATCATGGAAAAAATGCCAGCATGCGAAGAAAATCTTATCCCCAGATACAAAGATATGGTCAGAGATCTCAATGATAAAAAGGAGAAATGCACATTAGAAATTCTGAAAATAAAGAATATTTTGGAATTTGAAGCAGAAGAGATAAAGAAACTGGTAGATGCAATTTTGAAAGAAAAAAAGAATAACTTGGACGGAATACAGAAGACACTTATGGAAGATTTCACTCAACAGGAGACGAAAATAAACACTTATATCACACAAACGCAGAGTTTTGGAAGGGATTTTGAAAGATGGAAGGAGACAACAGAATATGCTAGTTTCCTGTCAATGGACTTGGAAACGCGCTTAGCGGAACTGAAGGACGCTCCAAAAATAAAGGAAATGTCGTTTCCGAATTTCAAGGAAAACAAGATTAAGAAAAATGATATCGAAAATATGTTCAGTTCCGTTAGTCTGGGGAAGGAGTTGAACGTACCAGAATGTATGCTATTGAGTAGAATCACCAAAGGCTTCCATCTTTCATATCAAAAAAGTGGACGCATCTGGATGAGTGACTTCTATCGCACACTACTTCAAACTGATCTTGATGGCAACATTTTGAATACAGTAGATGTAAAGGGAGGTGGTGTCGGTTTTCATACCGTCTCCAAAGAAGGCGACTTGCTTTTCACAGACCAGGAAAATGGATGCCTCAACAAGATTAAACACGATGGCTCAGTGGAACGTATTTTTCCAATAAAAAATTTGGTTCCTATCTGCGTCCATGCCAGTAAAATTAATGGCGATATCCTCGTAGGAATGACAAACACAAGGGAGAACAAAGTAGCAAGGTACAACAAAAGCAACGAAGAGGTCCAGAAAATAGAGAAAGATGATAATGGAGATGTTTTATTCTCAAGTATCTTTTATATTACTGAAAACTTTCAAGGCGACATTTGCGTTTCTGACAATAGAAAGAAGACAGTAGTGGTCGTAAGCAAGACTGGAAAGCACCGTTTTAACTACACGGGGGATCCATTGGGAACCTTAGGGCACCCATGGGGGATTTGCACGGATGCACATGGTCATATTCTCGTATGCGATCCAAACAACAAAAGAATCCATAAGCTTGATACTGATGGCAGACTACTCTGCTACATTCTCACCCATGTCAATTTCCAAGAAGGAGCACCAGTTGGAATTTGTCTCGACCAAAATAACGATTTATGGATTGGAAATTGGAAAAATGCAACCATCAAAAGATTCGGATTTTAAAAAATGATCCAAAAATTGAAAAGTTTTAAAACTTGAACAATATCCTAAAGACCACAGTTGTGTAGGCATTTCAGTACCCTTAATTGTGCATTGGACGATAACCCAACTCGAGGACGATAAATATTCAGAAGATTCTATATCTCAAAACATGCACTAGTATAGTATGTGATATTTATTTAAAACAAAGAAGTGTCAATTATGAATTCTTCTTCCTCTGTCTGGCCTCCTTCATCAAGTTGAAGATTTTGCCAGTTGGATGTGCGCATGTTTAAAAGAAACAGGATTGTTTAAGTTTAGTCTTTCATAGTCACTCGAGATTTAAAAATCTCAAGTGATTTTGCTGCCGCGATATCTTCTGGCAGGCTGTTCCATTCTTAAACAGATTTATAGAAGAATGACCACTTTCTACAGTCCTTGGTTGCAGATGGTATAGCAAACGGGTGTTGTTTTGTGTGCCTCGATCTTCTTACTTATTAAGTTTAGTGAAGTGGTCTGATGGCTACTTTGTTGTTTGTTATCTTGTACATCATAATCAATCCTTCATCTTTCCTTCTACTTTTAAAGTTCTTCCATTCCAGATATTTTATCATTTCTCCCACGCGAGTTCTATTTTTATAATTTCCCATTACGTATGGTGCCGCTGTTTGCACCTTTTCCAACATATCTATGTGGACTTGTTGCTATGCGTCCCACACTGTCGAAGCTTATTCAAGCTGAGGTCTAACTAGAGATATGTATGCTTTCTCATTTATTGATTTGGGTGATATATGGAGATTGCGTTGCAGGAATCCTAAAGTTTTGTTCGCCTTCTTACAGATATTTGAAATATATAGTCCCCAATTTAGATCGGATTATAGTACAGACTATATATTTTGTAGATTCTTCATGAAAAAGTGTATGATTATGAAGGGTGTAGTTGTAAACGATCGGGTTTTTCTTTTTTGAAACTGTAAGTACTGTACAAGTCATTTATCTGGGTGAAATTCCATTTTCCATTTTGTTTCCCAGAGAGAGTTTGTCAAGGTCTTCTTGAAGGATGTGACAAACTAAATTCGAAGAAATAGATATATTATTGTACATCTGCAAAGAGCTAAACTGTAGAGGTCAGGTGGTCTGGCAGATCATTTATGTAGAAGAAGAATAGACTCAGGCCTAGGAATGATCCCTCGGGCACTCCAGACTCAACCCCACCGACATCGAACTCTTCCCCTTCAATCACCACTGCCTGGCTCCTCATTTCTGCCTCATTTCTGGTGCTATCTCCACCATTTGTGTGAGTCCATTATCATCCAATATATCTGCTAGATGGTAGTGATTTTTCGTATGTTGGGTTTCAGACTTTAAATTGAAATCGCCCCAATCAAGATCTGTGAGATTGGGCTACATGTGCGTTGAACTGAATTGTAAACTCCCATCAGTTTTTCTTCTGTCCGTAGTCGCAATATAATGTACTTAATCCAAAAGGATCCTATATACATTGCACACTACGGAGTTATAAATCTGTGGAATTTTATCCATTTAGAGTGATCAGCTCCTAGATTTAAATCAAATCAAATCTAGTTACCATTTAAGTTGTAATCAATTCAACATTCTGGACATTGCATTAGGCCAAGATTATATGAACATATATAGTTTCATGTATTTTCTTCCTTTAAGAGCCTTCTATACACTGCACACTAAAGAGTTCTGATTCTGTGGCATTTTCATGCAGATAGAGTAATCTGCCCTTTGATCAAGGATAAAATAAATTGAAATCTATTGAAATGTACAGTTTTTTGCTTAATTTGTGATCAAATCAAGCATTTATAACATTTTAATAGTCCAAGATGAGTAGATTGAACAATTCATTTGCGGGTATTTTGCCCACTTAAGTAAGCAACAGTGATTTCTGTTCCTTGGAACTTCATCGTATCTGAACATTTTTCCTGGGGTAAATGCAAGGTACTCTATGTTGAAAATGTAATAAATAAGCTCAATATTAACACCTTACCACACTATAATTTTCTCTATGTCCACAAAATTTTCCTCTAGTGTATTGAGGGTCCTTAAGTAAGCAAATCATTTCTTAATAGATTTTTCCTGGAGGTAATTAAATGAATGGTACCGTATGTTGAAAATGAAATAGATAAACTAAATATTTACATCTTTGTATGAAATAATTTTTTTTGAATTCCACACACAAAAAAATATATCATCAGTGTATAGAAGGGCCTTGAACTCACATTGGTTTCTTTTCAGGTTCATTTTATAATTGTCAGAAAGAAAAAAAGGTCTGTTTCATTTTGATACGTAAATATTGGCAAATGGAAAATAGAAAAAAAATTCTACGAGTTATTTTTAAATTTCTCAAAGAAGATATAAAATCTCATTTAGCCTCAAAAGATTTAGAATTTTGTTAAACGATGAGCAATTTTCATTTAAACTCGGCATCATTAGTTCTGTGAAGTAAAGTATTTATTTTTTTTTTCTTGTATAAGCTTAATTACTTTAATTGTTTGATTTTTGCAGACATAACATCCCACCTGACAGAGTAAAATACAATTTAAATGCTCAAAGCAAACAATAATTCAAGTTTTCTTAAAGGATATTTAGACTGAGTTCATTTGATGCTCACTCCTCCATAGCACCTGATCCCACCTCTGATGTTTTTGGAGGTCCGTGTTTGCTCTGCTCCTGATTTGTATTGTTTTAATGGACATTGACTTTGAATACTGTTCTTCATCTCCATATTTAATGTGGACGAGGTAGAGGTGTCTCGGTTCTACTTTTCTTTGATAAATCTGGGGATGAAGAATTGGACGAATGTTAAACTAGTATATTGAAAGAATGCGTCATACGATATGATTGTCTAGATCCAGATTCTTTCTTTTAATTTAAAAAAAATTACAGCAAAGTTTAAAAAATGGAATGAACGGTTAATAAATTTAAGGGTTTTTTCAACAAATAATGCAACTACTATAGAAGTTGTAAACATGTTTAGTTGTACAGTTTGCATTGTTTTTGCAGGTGTTGCACCTTTCTTTCTCGGGCGCTGTCAGTAAAAACCAGTCCTATGTTAGAAAGTATTTAATCTTAATAAATAAATTGATTAGTGAATACACCATAATAATGTTCTAAAGATTCCGTTTCTTTTATTTACTTTTTTGGAGAATAAAATGGAAGCAGGTAAGCAGGTTTGTTTCAAGACTGTGTTTTGTTAACTTTTTTTGATGCGTCGGTACTTGTGACGCATCCCGTAATATTTGCATCACAATATGTAAGTACAAAACACATTGCCTCAACGTTCTAAAATTTCTTTACAAGGAGGAAGACAATTTAATCTCCCTGCAAAATGGCACAATAATCAAGGACATCGTCATGTTTCTGCACAAGAAATCAATGTTCTGAAATCCACGAGTACTCATCTGAATTAAATTACTGAGTATTAAGGCTAACGACCAGCTTCACAACCGTGACGTAGGAAACTGAGATAAAAAATCTGTCAAATTTTGAAATACAAATATAGAATAACGATTGTAACAGCAATGTCAACTGTTAGAATATTTAGGTGTTAAAAAATCAATGATCGGGTCCTTATGCAAGAAGAACTGAGTTTTGAGACCTGTTTTAAAATGGGGGTCATTGAAAAAGATGAAAATGACGAACAGTGATCGACTTAGGAAAACATACAATCAATACAAATCAGTGAAGAGGGCATAAAAATGGACCCCTAGAAATTTCAGAGATGGGATCAGGTGCCTAGGAGGAGTAAGCATCTCCTGTCGACCGGTCACACCTGTCGTCAGCCCTATGTGTTAATCAGGTAGACGATAGTCAATTTTACTATACAAATCCCTAACAATTGGTATGAAATACGTCAGTCAAAATAGACAAAATGATAGATTTCTTTTACGACATAAAAAACATATTCAGTTCAAAATGGAATATTATCGCATAAATAAGGAAAGTTAACGATGGAAAAGCTGAAGTCGTCTCGTTTGTCATACAATTTAGTTGTTAATTGGGTCTTATCATCTACAGCTAGTAAAGCATCCAAATATGAAACGAATGTGGTAGATTCTGTGGGGTCTTTTATTTCGGGTTCACTAGGATATAGCGAGTTTTTATATATGAACGGAAGTAACTATTGTTAATTGATAAAACGTCGCCGATATACATGTATCTAAATGTCGAGTTGAAGGCTGCAGCTTTTTCTTCTCCTGTCAAACGAGAATCTTCTCGAAATCGTGTAAAGTTGATCAAAACGTCAATACTCATTGGAAAATCTCAAAAAAAAAGAAACTCAGAAATAAATCAAGTCAATCAAAAAGATAAAGAAACGTTTTTGTGTGATATACATGTATTATCATTCCTCCATGAAACTTGCAATTGCTATGTTCATGATTCTTGTGCGTTGCAATTATAGAAGTGTACCTCTAGTCTCTTCGTTTCTAAGGTTTCGAAAATTTACTTGGAAAATCCATGAGTGTTCAGTAATAAGCAATCGATTTCAAAGAAGCTTGGCATCATTTTTCTTTGATTGACAGCTGTCCAATGATCATTTGGGTTTGAACTTTAAAAACATCTAAAAAGGAGTGTCGAAGAGGTTCATAACTTATAGTCAAGCTCAAAAACAGATTGAGAAACCTACTCACTTAAGATATTTTTCATCATCTTCTGAGGAAGTTTTTTTCGTAATACGCATGATAATTGTGAATAGAAAGTTCTTTCAATTAAGACAGTTTCCGTATTCATAAAATTTATTATGATAGATCCGACATTATTGTTTATATTCTATTTGCCAATATTGTAAACTCTCTGGAGAAAAATGCGCGGTTTTGTATTTTGCGCAGTTTTGACACCAAGCTGAGTCGACTGACTTCTGAATCACGTTTCTAGGAAATCATTGATCTTTCATGGAAAGTAACTTTTAACAGAAAACAGTCGCAATATAATTTGATTGTTGATTCTATAGCAAAGCATTTTCAGCGTGGGTAAATTTCAACTTTTCTGCAAATCTATGAGAGCTGTTTTACAGGACAATAATCCAACACAAGTCTAATGCCTTTGCTTTA